GCTCATGAAAAATTTATCCCATAAACAATAATGGCGGACTCAATGCGTATCCAAGTTAAAAAGCGTAACACAAAACAATAAATATAAAACAGACGTCAATGCATGTATCGAAGTTAGCTCCTCATTAATTCCCTAATTGTTCACTAGGGGCGCTCTCCCTACACTATAAATACTGGGCAACTTCTTGCCACGTTCTCTTTTTACTTTGCATTTCAGTGGACACATTTAAAAATGTGATCTTTCGTAAAAATCAGCGTTTTCGCCCACTTATGGGAAAATGCCATGAAACACACATACACGTACGTACGAACATTTCACCAAAATACAAACTCTTTACGTTCACACACAAACATAAATGTCTTTGTCACTTGTAAATTTGTTGTTTAATACTTATATTTGTTGACACATATATATCGGTCTCGTTTTTCTTATTTACATCTTCGATTGAACTACAACTTGAGTCCGGCATTGTTCTTGTAGTTGGGCCTTCTTCTAGCAGGAATTAACAGCACGTGTTCCTAACCAACAATACTCAAACCCACTCGGTTCTCTACACATGTATCAACAAAAGGAAAAAAAATGAAACGAGCTATAATATGAATGTGTTTGTGTGTGTTTGTGTGCGTAACAAGTGTGTGTGTGAGTACAAAAGTCAAGAAAGAAAACCATGAAAATGAACAATCCCCAGTAGGGAACATTTTACCCACTGCGACTACATCTGACAGGCAGAGCTAAAAAGCTGTAACAGAGGTTAGGGAGAGAAATGTACGCCTTTTTATAGGCTTAAGGAGTGATTCGTAGCAAGAGTTTTTTTTTTTGACAAAGTGGGATAACCGACACATTAACAATTTGCATAAGAATTTTAGTTACATAAAGATGCATAACCTCATTGTTAGATCTGTATCAAGACAAATTAATAATATGCGTATTCTGTTTATCAAATATCATAAAGTCGTAATTAGGTAGACATAGGTTTTTAATTGTATAGCTCTCACTGCCATACAAAAGGACAAATATCACATAACAGTTTAGTACTCTTTTCCTTGTTTCTAGCGAGTTTATTACTCTTTTCCTTGTTTTCTAGCGAAGTACTCTGCTTAAATTTTGGAATATATACTTGGCTATCTCAATACGCCTTCGGATTTCAGCGTCACACTTCTCGGTCCTCTGTTAAAACACTTTCCAGATATTTAAAACTTCTATCCATGTATTAATGAACATACCTTGAACGATATATTAAATTTAGCGAAACAATACATGACTATCCCCGATGAGGACATGAATTAAATACTACCGAAAAATCAATATTATGCCACAATTAAAAAATATGGACAGAAAGGGCAGTAATAATAATAATAATAATAATAACTTTAACGAAGGAATGGGTAGCTATGACATGCCTAGGTATGCGAACTAATAGGTATATGCACAATCAATATATTAACAAATATTATTAAGAAAAAAGATATAGGTATATACAGAGACGACGGTCTATTAGTTTTAAGAAACGACAACGGCAGAACTACAGAAAAATAATGACAAGAAACAATAAAAACCTTCAAAAGGCTAGGATTTACAATAGATATAAAATCCAATCAAAATATAGTAAATTTCTTAGATATAACTTTTGTGTTGTCAAAGAACACTCGTTGCCACTTTTGTAATGTCAACAAATACTCGTTGTCACTTTCGTAATGCTCATTGTAGTAGAGACTTTGTAATCGCAGATACAACTATAGTAACGCCGTTGAACAATACTGGTGTCAGACACCTTCGAATAACACTCGCACTAACAGTACTTATTCGATAATACTAGCTCGAAAAGTAACCACCGAATAGTGATACGAATAGTAATCCGCATAGTGATCACTTAGACGTCATGCTAATTCCCATATATACATTTCTGTTACCATCATGGGATCGCCTGTGTTTTCTTTCTGGTGGTCTGTGTTCAAACAAGTGTCGGCAGCGACACTTTATTCCTATATAACAATAACATTCAACCTAAAAACGGAACCTACAAACCATTCCGAAAATCAAACAACAACCCAATATACATCAACAAAATTCTACCCCCACTTAACGGATTCAAACAAATAGTCATATATATAAATAAAAGAATTTCAACAAATTCTAGTCGCCTAAAAATGTTCTATGAAAATTAAAAACATATGAATCAGTTCTAAGAAACAGTAGATATTTAAACAAATTCGAATACAGAGACGAAAAACAATTAAAACAAAAACAACAGAAAAAGAAATATAATTTGGTTAAAAAACCCCTAATAACAAAAATAGGGCAAATATTCTTCAAAATAATTGACAAAAACTTCCCTAAAAACAGCAAATTATCAAAAATTGTCAACAAAAATACAATCAAACTTAGTTACAACTGCATGAATAACATGGAGAAAATAATAATTAAGCACAATAAAAAATGTTCAACAAAACCAATAACAATTACAACAACAATGGCAATAGTATGCAGCAAATAACACTATGAAATGTAACTGTAGAAATAGAGAAAATTGCCCAGTTAACAATAAATGTTAACCTAATAACATAATATACAAAACTATCGTAACTAATAACATTAACAGAGGCAAAAAAAAAACAGAAAAAAAACTTTTAAAGAAAGTTATTATAACCACAAAATATTATTTGAAAGAAAAAATACACAAAAAATACAACCGTATCAAAATACATATAGAGCCAAAAAAAAAAAACAAAACAAAAAAAAACAACTCCACCAAAATCAAATAGGAAATTATAAAAAGTGCAGTCCCATACAGTATTAATAATTATAAAAATTGTAAATTATGCTTAGATGAAAAATTAGCAATAATTCGTTTTAAAAGACAAAATAAACTCATAAGCAAGCAAGAAAATTGAAATAATGAGCAAATGTAGGCAATAAATAAATATTTGTCATCTAAGCACTAATTAAAAATAAATATAATAAAAACTTTAAATAAATAAATGAAATAAATATATGAACTTAATTTATTAATAAATAAACGAACAAATATTAAACATAGACACCTATACGCGTGTGTGTGTGCAAAAAAAAGAACAAACCTACTCCCATAATTAATATATCCATATATAACATAATGCAAAAATGAATAAATAAACTACTAGCCATTAAATAAAAATGAAACATTAAAAGATAACATATGATATAAACAAACACTTACTTTAATGCATATACACTATTTAATAATAACATATATGCGTGTGTATGCAGCGTGCGTGTGTGAGAATATATATATATATATATATATATATATGAATGGTAATACTCGTTTTGAAAAACTTCGGTTATCCCAACTTGTAATGTAACATAGCAAATTGTTGTCCGAGGAAAAATTGGAAATAAAAAAAGAAAGTACCAAGAACATAACATTGTACGAATCCTCTCGTCAAGTGCTTGAGCTTCAAGGGTAAAAAAAAACAACAACAAAAAAACACACCCAAAACGAGCCGGTGTGTTTGTCCTTGATTTTTTTTCCTATTATACTTTCTAATTAGATTATTCATATTAGGCATACAACTATAACTTAGCTTAACGTAATTTTTATTGAAAAACGACACACCGGCCCAACGAAGTGTAACTGTAGAAAAAAGGACGAATACCCTCTTGAAGGCAAGTGCCAGCAAGAGTGCGTGGTCTACCAGGTAAATATATATAGAAATAAATTTAATAGTACGGATAAGAACCCTAAAGTTTATATGGGTTCTACCTAGAGTAGTTTTACAAAACGTTATTATAACAACCTCGGTAGTTTCAAACACGAAACCTAAACATAGTACTACCCTGTCCACTTATATATGCAAGATTAAACAGGAAGACAAAAATGATCTCTTTTTAAAATGGGAAATAATGCAAAAGTAGACGAAGAGAAATAGTTTGAAATATTTTGCTTTCTTGGATTGTTGAGAGAAAATCTTTTGAAGTGCCGCATGCTGATTTGAGAATGATAATATAATAAACGAGTAATTTTTCACTGGCGAAAACTTCAACGCTGGACGCAAGGAAATGAAACGAAACCTTTTACATAACTTCAGACATTCATCTCTGATTAATTTTTCTCCTCATTTTATATCAAAATGAATTTCGCATAGGATCGCTACTTTCTTTTATTCTCGGCTGACCGGCTACTTTCTGCGAAGGTAAGGTTTTCATTGGTCCAAAGGAAATTTCTCATAGGCTCATGAATTTCTTTCCCTCTTCTTCCTCAGTCTTCCGATTTTATAGGGAGTTATTATTTCACACTTACCACAGCGGATAGTGGTCTCTAACCTATCTTTTCTTTTTTGTTCACATGCATGGCCTGCTAGTGTGAAGTTTTTCAGGTGACAGAAAGCGCGGTGAGAAGTGAATCCATATGAGAGAGAGAGAGAGAGAGAAATGAAAAAGGAAAAAAATGGGACAATGGGTTTTTTCCACCTTCGTTTTTCATACTTTAAAATTATGAACGTTATCATTTGGTGTGTGTGTGGGGGTATGCTAACGAAAACTACCCCACAAATATCAGCACCACTTATTTCTGTTCCTTAACTTCCCAGATCGTCATTCTGCGTTAAAGAAAGTCAGTTATCGATTTTACCCCGACTTCTTTTTAAGAGTTCATATTTCGTTGGAAGTTTAAATATCTTGAAGAATTACAACCTGGGAATTGTGATAAAAAAAAATTTAAAAAAATACGAGATAATTTATTTTACAATGCACAAAATTCAATACCGACTATTAATTACTAAGTACTCGCCTGAAATCGCCAGAGCTAACTTGAGTTATCTCCCTTGTTTTTCAGTTGTTCTCTCGCTAGATGTCGTTCTCGGCACATTTTTTTTTTTTTTTTCAATTTCCCGCAGTTGTTCGTCCGTCGCAATGGCTGTCGTTGTTGTTGGAATGTGTGACCAGTTAACAACGTAAACAAAACAACTTTCTTTCTCAATTTTCAACGTGTTGACATATTTTTTAAAATAACCGCTGTCCTCATGGTGGATAATTCGATGGTAGAGTCCATTGCCGCTTCTCTGATCAGGGAATACCTGAGCAGAAAGGTTTGTTTATTTTTTTTTTCTTAAAAAAAAACTTTTACAAACTTTTTTTTTTAAATAACGTTTTTTTTTTTTTTTTATATCATTTCACTTTTTCCTTCCTTAAAAAAATTAAGTTTATTAAAAAAAAAAAAAAATTATTTTGTAAGTTAACTTATATAGATTTATTAACCTTTTTTTAAGGGTAGCGATGTTTTTCCGAGGGTAATGTCATTGTGAGAGTAAAAAAAACAAAAAAAAAAAAAACATTGAAATTAAGTAACAAATATTTCACTTTTTCTTGTTTCTAAAACAAAAAATATTCATTAATTTACCGGTTTATTAAAAATAACTTCTTCCCACCTTTATTTTGAAAGATTCTAGATAACAAAACAAATTAATTTAAAATTTTCCTTAAATACTCGAATGCACATATTTTTCCCGTGTCATCGATTAATTATCGATTTAATTAAGAAAAATCGATTAATTAATAATTAATTGATTTCTCCTCAAAATCTTCGATTTGTTTTTGTTTTTCTTGAAATTGATTAAAAAAAATCTGTTGATCTCTCAAAAAAAAAAAAATACTTATCTTTATTTTTACAAAGTAAAGAAAAGGAAAACGTGATATTTTTTTGGAACCAGGCACACAATCCCATATTTATTTGTTTTTTTTTTTTTTTTTTTCCAAAACATATTAAACTTGATTTGTAAAATAATATTTCCAACTTTAGTTCGAAGGCATGATAACTCATCCCTGTTCATCATTTACGGTGTTAAAAAAATTGAAAATTTCATGTATTTTTTTGTTCTTTCACTCATTATTTTTCTTGTATATGTGATTTTGAAAAATGTGATTGCAGAAGTAAAAAAAGATAACTACTGTTCAAAAATAAATTTTTAAAGCTAAATGTCAATAAAATGCCAAACGTTTTTTTATCCCTTTGTTTCTCTTTGGCTTCATTCAGATTAAATAGCAGAGATAATAAACACAAGAAGACTCATGATTCCTAAAACCTTTTGCTGTCATCGATAAACTTTTAATTCCACAACCAAACCTAAGATTTCTTTCTTGATTCCTGAGTTTTATCAACAAGTGCTTTTTTCCGCCCTTTCCAATTCAGTCACCGAATACTTTCTTTTAAAAATACTTTTTGTCAAAAAAAAGAAAAGAAAAAGAAGTCTGATTTAGACATTCAATTCAGTAATCTTTTTTTTTTTTTTTTTACTTGTAGTAAATAACCTTTTTAGTACATTACTAAATAACTACAGTCTTCCAGACAACCCATTACTAGTTTTTTTCGTGCTACGCATCGTTCTCTTATGTCTGTAAAAATCTGTAATAAACATTTTAATGCGAAAAAATCATAATCAAAATAACAGTTACAAGGCTAACAAGTTCTTAAAGTGATCACGTAACCAAATTTTTACCTATTTCCAAATTTTGACGAAGCTAAAGTTGAGGTGACATATATAATATTCTTTTTTTTTTTTTTTTTTTGGAAGCTGACAAAACTGGTAAAGTAGCACTTGCAATATGAGACCTGAATAGCGATAACAAAAAACAAAAATGCAAGAAGTGTTATTTCTGTAATTGTTCTTACCTGGGTTCTTTCCTATATTTGTCACCTGGCCAAGCTTCTCGCTCGCTCATCTTCAGAGCACACAACTAAAGGAATTACCTGGAAAAATTCTGTACGCATTCTTTTATTTTTTTTTCTTTACGGTAACGGGTAACTGTTTATTAGGAAGAAACATGACATGCTTTTTTTTTATTATTAGGGGGAAAATCGGGTTAATTTTTGCATTTTAAACTGAAAATGTAATGTAGAAATATTGCGACATAAAAACGGTAACTTGTTTGTTAACCAGTATTTTATTATTCTTTTTAAGCCCCCCCCATCAACCAAAAAACAATATTTTTGAAGTTAAACTGAAAAGCTGGCCTTTCGGTTGGTTTCTAAGTACAGAATCATATTCAAAATTAAATCAAGTAATAAAAGATAAACCCCTCTTTTTAGTTTTTCCTTTTCTAATTGTTATTTTTTTATTTTTAATACAATTTTTTTTAACCATAATGTAATGAGATAGATGCTGTGTAGTGACAATAGATCTCTCAAAGTCTAAAAGAAAGATGTTTCTTGTTGACAATTAAGAAAAAATACCAGTACTCCTGTACAAAACTGGACTTTTGCACATCCTCTGGTCAGAATAATGAGAATACATGTGAATAGTGTTTTGAAAACATTTTTTCTTCATTTTAAAAATCATTAAAAAAAGTGAAGAAAAATTAAAGTTCTTATTTTATTCCAGATTATTATTTTAATGACCCCCCCCCCAAAAAAAATGAATGCTTATGATCACGCAGGTCCATTTCTTTTTAAAAATGAAACTAATTAGTTGAGCAAAAACTCCATGTGTTTCTAGTCCGATTTAAACCTCTTTCCAAACTGATTTTTTTTGCAGTCTAAAAAATTCTTAAAAATGGATGTAAATCTTGTTTGCCAATATAAAATGAAAATTTAAATGACGTTCATAGCAACACGCATTTTCGATAAATAAAAAGATCGTGTTTAGTCTTTCAAAAGTTGTGAAAGTTAAACAAGGGATCTATTTTTTTATCCTCCATTATTTGATACCAACATTTTTTTTTTTTTTATGCGTGGGCATTTGCAGGAAGTGTCGGGCTCGGATGGATGGAATTGCCTACCTCAGGTCGTAAGACTTATTCGGAAACGGAATTTCTTCAGTTATTTAAAATGAGGTCTTCATGAAATCATCATTTATTTTTGCCTATCATTTAGCATTCTTCTTGCTAATCTTGCACCTCATCTGTCTCCTGTAAAAGCAGCAGAAAAAGAAAAAAAAATCAATTATTTATCAATCTACGTTCAATTCTAACAACACTTTTTACACGTACGGACATGTATGAATAGTGACCTACATTTAAAGCAGAAAGCACAACATTCTATATGGAAAGTTATAATAAATTCAAATCGCAAAGGAATCCAAGTCTGGCACAACGCTATTTTGGTGAGGGATAGGTACTCGGATTAAAGTTCTAATTTCATATTGATACAAACTGCTGTCTAGTGCAATGTTATAATACATTAATAATGAAAATCTGAAAATCTTTCATAGTGTTTAGTGTTTATTCAACTCTGAGCGTCACCAATTACAGTCAGTGTGTGTGTAGCTCAAGAGTACTTTCTGAACGTGAACCCCACATTCTTGAGTAGACTACCTCCCTCCCTCCTGAGTGGGTGTTTATATATTGACTGCACATGTTTGTTTTTTTGTTTTTTTTTCACCCCCATAGGTGAACATCCTAATGTATTTGGATTGACCATGTGTTTACATCGCAAGGACAGACATTGATGTTGGATGAAACACTGATCTCCACTTATGAATAGGTTGTTATTTCACAGGTCAAACTGCTTATGCACTTGGCATTATTGATGGTATAGTGTGACATTGAATGCAAAATCTATTCTGGCATTATCTGGGGATGTCCTAATATAAATCTTGCATAGTTTTTTTTTTTTTTTTTATCAGTCTATATTTCTGAGATGAGGTATTATGTACACTATTTACATTATTTGGACTATTGTCCTCATCTTTGTTGCCATATTTATTACAACGTTTTGGCCGTTGTACACTCGGGCCTTCTTCAGGTGGTTGGAATGTTGAACTGAACCCTTTATTTCGCTCACTGGGGTAGACTGTTCTAGTTCCATGTGGCATGTTTAATGGATGTCAGTTATCTCCTGTTAATTCCCCTCTCCAAGTTCTCCACTGCTTTAACTGGGTATTGAACTCAAACTCTTTGGGTTCTATCACTAGATCTAACTAACACTTTTATCCACTGTGCCATGTGTGCTTTTTTTTTTTCTAGTTAGGATATTTTTTAGATGGGCAAAGAACAACAAGATGGCACTTGAGAATGTATGCAGTGTTTGTTGTGTTGTAGTGCATAAAACATGTTTAGGTGTGTTTGATAGAAGAGAGGCTGTTGAGAAATTGTCAGGTAAAATAAAATAAATTCTTCATTTCAATAAAGGGAAATTCATTTGCATGTTTGAGGAAAAATGATCATTGCAAGGCTTTTGATTCATTCAACTTTTTACTGTTGTGTAATTTAATAACTTGTCTCTACAGTAAAGCTTTCTTACGGCATGCTAGCTCAGTCTCTTTGTGATGAATCAGAGATGTTAAGGAAAATGTTAGATAAATCAATTCTCTACTTGACATTCAAGGGAGATGCACAGATTGTTTATTCAACTGGAAATGGATCTTGTTATTTCAGAATTAGTCAAATGTATCCCATCAACATAGGTATCTCAAAAGAATCACTAAAAAATGAGCATACATGGTGAAAAAAATGACCAAAACGTAATAAAAACAAAGTTTTATCTTCATTTGTGTTGTTATTGAGAGAAAAGACTAACAAATTTTTTTATGTAAAAATTATTATTATTTTTTTTTTTTTTTTTTTAGTAATATTTAGAACCTTTGAAATTTGGGTTAAAAATCTTGTTTTTCTAGAGTCAACGCATGGCCATAAATTTGTGTGGGAAATTTGAATGTTTTTTTGCAGTGAAAAACATTGATTTCAAAATTGTTGTACAAATCAGATGACTGTTGGATTTTAATGAAACTTTCAGAATTTATTCAAAAATTAATTAAATTATTTTTGAAACCTTTCTTTTTTAGAAAATCTTGGTAAAAATATTTTCATTTTTACACTTACTTTATGAAATTTTGAGAGATGCTTTTTGTAGCACTTAATATTTATAAGAACAAGTCCTAAAAAAATTTAAATCATCAATTATATATAACACATAAGTCAGAAAGTTAGACATATGTACAGTAAATAGGTAGGTTCCTTTTTTACGTTCTTTGCCCTCTGCATAGGATTACAGTTGGGATATTCTTGAGCCCAGCTGAGGCAAAAATCTAATAGAACATTAAATGTTTAGCTGGAGAACATGCTGCATATATTTACTGGGAGGCATTTTGGATCA